TTGCTTTAAACATAGAGTCTTTTTTTGCAAGGCAATAGTAGATTATAACAATGAAAATTAAAGGAGTAATAGAGGACTTAAAAATAAAAACATTAAAAAAATTTAAATGATAATAGTAAAAATACATCTAGGAATTTCTCTGGAGCTGTTGCAGGCATTGTGGGGTTTGTTCAGTTTAAGATAGTTCCTTGTTCTAGCTTATACTTCTCAAGATCTATAGGCCCCTTCCAATGTAGTCGGTGTTAATTACAGGGTTTTTATCTGTTGTACCTGTCACTTCCAAAGCGGTTCCCTCTGTTTATTTTGGCTTCTTCTGTTTGCAAGTGTCTTCAGTGTCTAATTTCTGCCCTGGCACAAGGGGGCAAAGGTGGTCACTTAATTAGGCTCACTTGTTCAGTCATGCTGTGGGGAGGGAGGAACCCTGCAAACAAATATCACTGGCATGTGTGGGGAGTGCTTGCAGTGTCTCGGCCAAACTGGGTTTGCCCCCGCTCAAGGTGTGTGTGCTTTCCCAGTCTATATTGCTTAGGCTCCAGGTTACTCTGCAGGGGAACTATCTAATGCGGGCCCTGGGTTGCGTGCATTTCCCAGGTCTAAGCCACTCAGGTTCCGGTTCTTGGGTAGTCTGCAAAGGTGCAGACTTGGGTGGACCTTCGTTTTGTGCCCTTCCCTGGTCTGAGCGGCTCAGGCGACCAGGTGCTTGGTGAGAGCACTCTCCTTAGGTGCAGTGCATCTTATCACCTCCCCTGTCCCAGCTGCTCGGTTTCCTGGGTGTGCCCTCAGGTGTGCTGTGTGTCTCTTCTGGAGAGCTGATCTCTGGCTGCAATCCTCCCAGCGGATGTCATCCGTCCAGGATCCCAGGAAGACTTGGTTGGCCACTGGGAGCCTCTCAGTTTGGTGGGGGATGCCATCTTTGGGACTGTGTTTGCCCCTTTCCAGCTCTGGCTGCCATCCGCCTGCCTCTGGCAGGGCATGGGCTAGTCTGCTTCCAGCTAGCTCTCCTCTGGTATTCTCTCAGTCCTTTGTTCTGTGAGGGGGCCTGGCAGTGCTTTATGTTAGGGCTTTTCATGGGAAAGTTCTCTCACACTCTCTCTCTCTTTCTTTTCTCTCTCTCTCTGGCTATCCCACAGTTTGAGTTGCTGTTTCACATTAACTCCCTCAGATTGCCCTCAGGGCATTCAGTCTGGTCCTTACTCTAAGCAATGCAGCCTGTGCCTCCCTGTTCATCCCCTGCTTGCTGGTGGCCAGTGCAAGTGTCTGGGCTATTTCTCCACTGGGAATTTCCATTGGGCACATAATCTGTGGGTTTTATTTATTTATTTATTTTTCCTCCCAGTTATTTTGCCCTCTGAGATTCCAAAACTGCCCACAGACCAACTGCTGAGAGGGTTTCCTAGTGTTTGGAAACTTCTCCTCTTTTATGACTCCCTCCCCAGGATGGATCTCTGTCCCTAACTCTTTTGTCTCTCTTTTTATCTTCTATATTTTGTCCTACCTCTTTTCGAAGATAGTGGGTTGCCTTTCTGGGTGTCCTCTGCCAGCATTCAGAAGGTTTTTTTTTTTTTGGAATTTGCTCAGCGTTCAAATGTTCTTTCAATGAATTTGTGGGGGAGAAAGTGGTCTCCCTGTCCTGTTCCTCCAACATCTTAAGACTGCCCTCGCTACAGTCATAAAGACAGTATGGTACTGGCACAAAGACAGAAATATAGATCAATGGAACAGAATAGAAAGCCCAGAGATAAATCCACGAACCTATGGTCACCTTATCTTTGACAAAGGAGGCAAGGATATACAATGGAAAAAAGACAACCTCTTTAACAAGTGGTGCTGGGAAAACTGGTCAACCACCTGTAAAAGAATGAAACTAGAACACTTTCTAACACCATACACAAAAATAAACTCAAAATGGATTAAAGATCTAAATGTAAGACCAGAAACTATAAAACTCCTAGAGGAGAACATAGGCAAAACACTCTCCGACATAAATCACAGCAGGATCCTCTATGACCCACATCCCAGAATTATAGAAACAAAAGCAAAAATAAACAAATGGGACCTAATGAAACTTAAAAGCTTTTGCACAACAAAGGAAACTATAAGCAAGGTGAAAAGACAGCCCTCAGATTGGGAGAAAATAATAGCAAATGAAGCAACAGACAAAGGGTTAATCTCAAAAATATACAAGCAACTCCTGCAGCTCAATTCCAGAGAAATAAATGACCCAATCAAAAAATGGGCCAAAGAACTAAACAGACATTTCTCCAAGGAAGACATACAGATGGCAAAAAAACACATGAAAAGATGCTCAACATCACTCATTATCAGAGAAATGCAAATCAAAACCACAATGAGGTACCATTACAGGCCAGTCAGGATGGCTGCTATCCAAAAGTCTACAAGCAATAAATGCTGGAGAGAGTGTGGAGAAAAGGGAACCCTCTTACACTGTTGGTGGGAATGCAAACTAGTACAGCCACTGTGGAAAACAGTGTGGAGATTCCTTAAAAAGCTGGAAATAGAACTGCCATATGACCCAGCAATCCCACTTCTGGGCATACACACCGAGGAAACCAGATCTGAAAGAGACATGTGCACCCCAATGTTCATCGCAGCACTGTTTATAATAGGCAGGACATGGAAGCAACCTAGATGCCCATCAGCAGACGAATGGATGAGGAAGCTGTGGTACATATACACCATGGAATATTACTCAGCCATTAAAAAGAATTCATTTGAATCAGTTCTAATGAGATGGATGAAACTGGAGCGAAGTAAGCCAGAAAGATAAAGACCATTACAGTATACTAACACATATATATGGAATTTAGAAAGATGGTAACGACAACCCTATATGCAAAAAAAGAAAAAGAGACTCAGATGTATAGAACAGACTTGTGGACTCTGTGGGAGAAGGCGAGGGTGGGATATTTCAAGAGAACAGCATTGAAACATGTATATCTAGGGTGAAACAGATCACCAGCCCAGGTTGGATGCATGAGACAAATGCTCGGGCCTGGTGCACTGGGAAGACCCAGAGGGATAGGGCGGAGAGGGAGGTGGGAGGGGGGACCGGGATGGGGAATACATGTAAACCCATGGCTAATTCATTTCAATGTATGACAAAAACCACTGCAATGTTGTAAAGTAATTAGCCTCCAACTAATAAAAATAAATGGAAAAAAAAAAAAAGACTGCCCTCGTCTTTCAATGTTTTCTAACAATTTTCATTCCAAGCTAGACATGGTGGGTAAAAGGAACTGAGATAAACAGGTTTTAGTGAGAGGTTTTATTTATCTGACCAGAGTTTAGTCTCTGTTTTTTGTTTGCTTTTACTGTACATGTCAGAAGCTCAACTTACCTCTGGTGTTCTTCTTTTTATTATATTGATTGTCTTTTGTTTTCCTTAGAGTCTTCTTAAATATTTTTGAGAATAGTTCTTTTAGTCACATTCCTGTGTTATTATCCAGGAAGTCTGTTGATGTGGTGGTAAATTGTGAGGAGGTAGCATTCTATAATTCTACAATCATGTCTCAGTACTTTATTTTATTTTTTAATTAATTTATTTATTTTAATTGGAGGATAATTACTTTACAGTACTGTGATGATTTTTGCCATATATCAATATGAATCGGCCACAGGCATACATATGTACCCCCATCCTGAACTTCCCTCCCACATCCAATCCTACCCTATCCCTCTGGGTTGTCTGAGAGCACTGTCTTTGGGTGCCCTGCTCATGCATTGATCTTGTACTGGTCATGTATTTTACATATGGTAATATACATGTTTCAGTGCTATTCTCTCAAATCATCCCACCCTCACTTTCTCCCACAGAGTCCAAAAGTCTCTTCTTTACATCTGTGTCTCTTTTGCTGTCTTGCATATAAGGTTGTCATTACCATCTTTCTAAATTCCATATATATGCATTAATATACTGTATTGGTGTTTCTCTTTCTGACTTACTTCACTCTGTAGGATAGGCTCCAGGTTCATATGCCTCATTAGAACTTACTCAAATGCATTCCTTTTAATGGTCAAGTAATGGTCCTTTGTGTATATGTACCACAACTTACTTTTCCATTCATCTGCTGATGGACATCTAGGTTGCTTCCATGTCCTAGGTATTGTAAATAGTGCTTCAATGAACATCAAGGTGTATGTGTCTCTTTCAATTCTGGTTTCCTTCGGGTGAATGCTCAGTATTTTAGTGAACCTGTGTTTCTGGCTTATGATATTCACAAATATTGTTCAGTTGTGTTTCAGTTTCCCCCCTTAGAAGAGACAAGGAGTCATTCTAGTTCTGGAGTTGTGAATTTCCCCTTTCCCAGGTCAATCAAGCTCTGGTTAAATAGTTTCTCTTGAGGGTAGGCCTTATTAAGAGGAATGAAATGCTCTGTGCATATTTTTAAATGGCTAATTTTCTTGGCTTTTCAGAATTACAGTAACATGATGGACTTTTTCTCAGATCTTCACTGTGAGTAAGGCTCTTGTAGGTAAAACTCCCAAAAGCTTGGGAGTCCCCTAGGACTGGGCCTACTTAAAATTTTTAACTCTCAAGCCTGTTCACACTGAACCTCTAGCAATTTGCCAATTATCGATTAGGTTGTCATAGCCCTGCACTGGTTCCCAAGGACTTTTCCGCTCTTGGGCTTCTGCCCTATATGTTTTGATTCTCTGTGTCTGCTTGTCTGTTTCTTCAGCTTGCCCTATGACCTCAGTTCTCTGATGGAACTAAGAGGAGTTGATTTTCAGGTTGTTCCATTTTTTTTTTTCTTCTTATGTGAATGAAAGAGTTGACTTCCAAGCTCCTTGCATGCTTAACTGGAATCCAAGGGAATTTTTTGAGAGCTAAAAGACATGTTTGTTGTAAAGTTTTCATTTTTTGAAAACTGGTTAGAGTAACTATCTTTTAATTAACGTACTTTATTTTTCTTTTAAAGGGGTAAAATCTAGTATCTTGTGAAAAATTAAATTTTTTCATTTTTTTTCTTCTTGAATAGATCCAAAATGCCCAGGAGATGTTGATTTTCATAATAGTGACTGGGACATTAAGACAATCACCAGCTCCTTGAAATTCTACCTCAGGTATGTCTGATATGCTTTGGAATGTTGCTTTTCAGAACTGATGAAATTTGTCTGGATGGAGATGGAGTTAATGTGGTCCCAATTTTTGGAGGTTAGATAGAATTGCTAAAGAAAAAAAAAAGATGAAAGGGATTTTTGTTAAAGAAAAATGTGCATTAGGAACCTTTTTCTTTAATTGGGAATTTAAGCAAGGGAAACATCAAAATAATAGAATTATTATTAAAATGTGGGTTTCTGAAGAAAATTTGCTTTAAAAACAATTATTTAAAAATCATGCCCTTAAATAATTGAAGTTTTGCCTCTGTGCACAGATAGAGTGATATCACAATGGGCTCACCAGCAAACTCAGGAGTTGTGAAAATTCAAGGTTGTTAACCTGTATTGTTGGATAATAATAATTTTGAAATATTAAATTGCATTTACACAATCATAATTTGTGTATTTGTATGTCTTTTTTAATAATGTGAACTAAAAAACAAAAAAAATACAAATATAGAAAATTTAGAACTGAAAAAGGAAAAAAAAGTTAGAACTTAATGAAGTGATGGCAGTAGAAAAAAATTAACTCATGAGCGAAATTTGGGGATGCACAATGACAGTTTATTGGCATAACTTTATATTGCATAAAATTATTTATGACATATATGTTTTTAAACTCTTTTATTTCTTACCATTTTCTATGTTCTATAGTATGCACCATACTTTATGTGCTAAAATGTCTTTTCAATTATTGTACTCTTTAGTCATTAAGATAACTATTTATGATATGAGAAATGTCATTAATCCAAATAGTTTGGGTCCCATATATTGTTATTAAGTGACCTTCTGCTATTGCATCATCTTAGAACTTTAAGTAAATATGAATGTTCTTTCCAGGAGTATTTCTCTTGCATTTGTCAACAAATAAAATCACTGTTCTTGGAGGGTTTATTCTGTGCTAGGCAATGTTCTACTTGCTTATGTTAACAATATCATTGTTTTTTTCTCACAGTAATCTTATGAAGTAGGTGTTACCATACTTATTTTACAGATGAAGAAATACAACATACTTTCTCCCTCATTAAGTAATATTCATGATCACAACTCATATTGTTTGAACATAAGTATCTCTAACTTGTAAAGCCACTGGTATTAGAGCATCTTATTTCCCTATTCTCCAAATTCCAGAGACTGTGACCTTCTTGGAGTTGCTTGGGTATTTTAGTAAAGACAGAGCAATCTGCTATGCACACTTTCAGGAGACTCATGATGATGATAATAGTGCAAGTAAATGACTCTGTGTCTCTAGCCTCTTTCAAAGGGGTTAGTTTTTTCAGAGATTTATGTGGGGTAAGTCCCTCCCACATTTTATCTTTCCCAGCTCATTGCATAATAAGCAGTGAAGCCCATTTGAAAGATGAACCTGAAACTTTGAATGGCCAGCACCTCCAATAAGAGATATTTATTGTTGAGAGCCTTACGAGCCTTTAATATGTACTAGCCAGTTAACACCTTTTCAATTTCTTTTTTTTAAATTGTGTCAGTATCTTCAAAATGAACTTGCTTCATCTGTGTTTTAGACACCTAATTCACCCCGTGTCTCCAACATTTCTAGACAATTACTCTAAAAACCATCCCTTCTCTCTTCTGCATCTTTAACCTTTCTCATTTAATGGATTCTTTCCTCTGAGCATACAAATAGGAAGACCACAACCACAGAAAACTAACCAAAATGATCACATGGATCACAGCTTTGTGTAACTCAGTGAAATTATGAGCCATGCCATGTAAGGCCAGCCAAGACAGATGGGTCATAGTGGAGAGTTCTGGCAAAATGTGGTCCACTGGAGAGGGGGATGGCAAACCACTTCAGCACTCTTGCCTTGAGAACCCCATGAACAAATATGATCCAGCATTGCACATCTCTCTAACCTTGTGTTTTGTTTCATTCATTCATTTATACCACCATTCACTAAACCATTCAGTAAACATTTCCTGAGTACCTACTCAGTGCCTAGCATACTATCTGGCAGTTGGTATACAGTCGTGAGTAGATATGACCTTAAAAAGTTTATAGTTGGGACATCCCTGGTAGTCCACTGGTTAAGGATCTGCCTGCCAATGCAAGGGTCACCGATTCAATCCCTAGTCAGGGGAGATACCATATGCCACAGCACAAGTCTGTGTGCTGCAACTACATTTGAGGGATATGACAGTAAACAGTAGCCCCCACTCTGCAACTACAGAAAAGCCCGTACACAACAATGAAGACTATGCACAGCCAAAAACAAACAAATAAAACATTAAAAAAAAGTTATAGTAAAGTGAAATGGACAGACAAAAAAACAATTATACAAATATAATAAACTGTAATGAGTGCTCTGAAGGAAAACTGCAAAGTGCTATGCAGTCATATAATAAGAAAGCCTGATTTGTTCTGGTTTTCATTTTGAAATGAAGTTTGAATTATAACTTGGAGTCAACTGGCAAGGGGAGGCAGTTCCATACAGAAATAACTTCATATGCAAAGACCTTGAAGCACAAGGAAGACCCTTTTAAGGAACTACATGTACCAGTATATGTGGAGTATTGAGTGTAGAGGGAGGGAGAGATATGTAGGGCCAGATCATTCAAGGCCTTTTAGGATATTTTTAGAATTGGAGTATGACTATATATTAAAAGCAATGGGAATATATTGAAAGATTTTAAGCAGGAGGTTGTATGATATTTGCATTTTGAAAAAAATTTAGAGAGATGAAATTAGAGAGAGGCAAAATAAGTAGAGGTGGAAACCAATTAGCAAGCTATTGCTGTGGTCCTGGAAAGAGATGATGCTCTGTGGGACTAGGGAGTAGCATTGGGAATAGATAGAAACAAGCATAGTCAAGAGATTTAGGAAATAAACTTGGATATGAAGATGGAGGAGAGGGAGATAAAAGAATGATTTCCACATTTCCAGCCATGCAACCAAATGTTGGTCATACAGTTACTGATTTGGGAAACCTTAAAAAAAATTACCTCATTTGAGAGAGATGACAAATTAGGTTTTTGATATGTCAAATCTAGGTGTCTTTGTAGAAACTAGGGCAATAATTTTAAGTAGGCAATCTGATATATAGGAAATATATAGGCATGTAACTCAGAGAATTCTGGGCTTGAGTTAAAAAATTGGAGATCATCAACAGTGCAGATGATAATAGGAGGCAGGGGCTTAGATGAAATTGCCTAGTGAGATATTTCACCCTTTCCCAATCTAGCTCCAGTGTATGAAGTAATACACACTCCCACCTTTACTTTTAATCTCTAAGTTTACTTTTTAACCCACTGCAATCTGACTCACCCCCTCTCCTCTATGAAGCTGCTCTTGCCAACGTCACCAGTGATTCCCTCAATGCTAAACACAATGGATGATTGTCAACCTTTACCTTATTTGATCTCTTTGTAGCATTTGAAGCTGTTAACAAGCCCTCCTTGAAAGTTTTTCTTCTTTTGGATTCTGCTAATCTATGACTTTTGGATTTTCTCTCACCTCTTTGATAAATTTTCGAAGTCCCTTTTATGGACTTTCTACCTGGTATTCCCTAGGGCTTTCTTCTCATTTTGCTACATTGGAGGAGAGGAAAATACAAATATTTACAGGAATAAGGACATGAAAATGACTGAAGGACTACTTTCATATTAAACTACTTTCATATTAAACTTGTTGCCTATAAAACCCTTAATTGCATGGCAATCCCTTTGTTTATATATAAACAGCAATATTCTTTACTCACACAAACAACCATAGGAGCCCAATATAGACAGATTTTTCCATTTTTCAGTAGAGGCAGACAATATTCATCTTGTATGTGAAAACTCAATTTTCTTCATGTTATGATGACTGATTCAATTCCATTTCTTTTTTACACACTATTCTGGACTGGAAAAAAATGTTGAAAGACCTCCTGTAACTGTTGGCTGCCAGTTTGCCATCTCTCCTTGAGCCATGGTATTTGTTCTTATGGTTCTCATAAGCTCTGCTTCTCAGATCTGGAAAAGCACTTCGTCCATCTTCCTAATAAACACCTGCCTTTGCTATCCCAGAAACCCCTCAGACATAGCATCTCTACTTCCCTCTGAATCAATTTCTAATATCTTCAGTCCCAAACCAGACTACTCTGGTTTTGTGTACCCAAACCAGATGACTCTGTCCCTCATCAACATTAATCTCTCCCTTATAACTATTGAAGGAGCTGTCTTTAATGTCTTTCAAATAACTCTCCTCACCTTTTCTTTCTACCCCTAATGGCACTATTTTCATTTAGGCTTTTATTATCTCTTGCCTATATTACTGCAATAAGAGCAGTGGCAAGCAGTATAACATAATGATAAAGAACATGGACTTGAGACAAACTGCTTACTTCCGCCACTTACTATGTGGCTTAGGATGAACTATTTAACTTTTCTGAAGCTCAGTTTCCTTATCTAAAACATGGAGATAATATTAGCATCTACCTTACAGGGTTGTCATGAGAATTAAATAAGCAAATATATGTTAAACACTTAGAACAGTGACGAGTTTGCTATTATTACTATTATTAGTGGATTGCTTCCTTCTTCTGGGCCACGTACTACCCACTTTTATCATTATACTTGTTACCTTACATTGCAAAGTTTGTATATGGTACTCTCCCCAACTAGACTGTTAGCTCCTTGAAAATTTAGACTACATCTAATTCATCTGGATCCCCAATACCTGGCACAATGCCAGTCACAAGTAGGTGGTCTCTATATATTTAGACCACACCACGCAGCATATGGGATCTTAGTTCCTTGACCAGGGGTCAAACTCTTGCCCCTTGAAGTGGAATTACAGAGTTTTAACCACTGGATCACTAGGGAAGTCATTCAACCAGTATTTTTTTGACTAAATAAAGAAACCTATCTGAGCCTCAATTTCCTTCTCCATTAAACAGGGATTTGAATTACTTCTTCACAGGAATTTTGGAGGGGTCAAATGGCAGGACAGATATAAAAGAACTTGGAAACTAAGGAAGTAACAAACTGTAAGGACTCCATAGTAGCAATCATAGTGGGTACACTTTGGAATTTTGCAGGGCTGGGTTGTGCCTCTTTTCACTTTGGGGAACTAGTTGGAGACTCTGCTCGAGGTCTCGGCTCATACTTTCTTCTATTGAATTATGAGCAATGAGGATTCCTCTGACAAATTTTCAGATGAACAAAAAATGCATATAGTCATGTCAGTCTGTGAGCTCAGAAACTTCAGCTTTGCTTCTCACAGAACTGAGATTCTAAGGCCTCACTACTCCCTCCCCAAAGGAACTTACAGTCTTCATTAATTTCAGGAATCTTTCTGAACCTGTCATGACCTATAGACTTCACAAAGAGCTGGTCTCTGCTGCCAGTAAGTATTTATGTTACTTAGTTAATTGTGTTTTCGTGGCTTCTAACTAATAATTAGAAAAATAAGCCTAGAAGACTGCTTGAGGGAAAGCAAGGGAAAAAACAAATATACTTAACAGGTTTTGTCCACTGTCAAATGAGAATATTCTTACTTGCTAACTCATGTGCTGTATTAGTTTTCATAAATCAGTGTTAGTTGAATAAATTGGAGAAAACTGGATAACTTGAGGGATGCAACAGTTCTGAGGACTTGATTGATTGATTGTGCCTTATATCAGAACAAGCATATTGGCTCACATTGCCAGGAAACAGCAAAATGGTTCCATTACAGTTATTGTTTCAGCTTTTTTTCAACACTTTGCCCTTTCAAATGCTCTTCAATTGTGTTGTGAATTATTACTCTTAATTTTTTAGTGCTAGCTTCACAATGTTTAGATTATGAGACCAATGGTGAGACTGGAGGGGTACATAGGAAATAAGGTATATAGAATCACTCAAAAAGTCGGCAGCTGAAGAAGCATTAAAAGTTTTGGCTGAGGCAACTGTATGAACTGTATGAGTATCCCTCCCTACCTCCATGTGACTCTTCTGTATTGTGCCCTGTATGGTATTGAGGTAAAAGATGCAAGGGATTTATCCTCATAATGAATATTTGTTGAGGCAAGAGAGCCTTGATTTTTACTCTGGGCTCTCTCAGTAATTTTCATAGGAACCCAGAGGCAGCAGCATACCTCCCAGTTCCACAAGGAAATTTACTGGGCAAGCGTTTCCAGCTAGAAGTTTACGTGTGGAACTTTAAGAGCAACATGCTGTATTTAGAATTCTGACTTGTTCTGATACAGTCTTCTCTTCTCTGTTCTGTTTTCTCTTCTCTCTTCTATATTCTTCTCCTTTCTAGACCAATTTATTTGTTTTTAATCAATGTTTTTACCTTTTAGTCAGTCTCTCTCTTCCCCCTTCAGTGTCTTTATTTTTTGGTCTCTTTCTGTCATTTTGCCCCTGTGTCTATATATCTCTCTCTTTTCATCTCTCAGACTCTCTATGTGTCTCTGATTGTCTCTGCATGTGCACATGCATGGGTGTGTGTATGTGTGTCTGTGTATGAGAATTTGCTTAATCCAATTGCCCAGAAGGCAAAACTATCTCTCTGTTCTCTCTCAGAGTCTGACAACCTGGATTATCGATTGGGAGCTATTCACTCCCTGGTATATAAGCTACCAGAAAAGAACCGAGAGATGCTGGAACTTCTTATAAGACATTTGGTCAAGTAAGTAACTTCTAGGTTTTCAGGAAGAGTTCCTGTTAGAAGAATGAACCACATGATAGCACTACAGATAAACTTTCTTTAAGCTCATTAAGTCCCAACCCCCAATTGCTTCATCCTAGGCAATCTGAATGCTCGGTGAGAAACATGATTTTGCCTTTACCCTTGTGGTGTATCTTATCCAGGTCATCGTGCATCTTATTTGAAGATTTTTCTCAGTTTAGGCATTCATACCAGATAGAATGGGTTAAGCACAAGCTTTGCTGTCAGATAAATCTGGTTTCAAATACAAGTTCTACCGCTTATTTAGCTTTATAATCTTAGGAAAACCTCTATTAGCCTCTGTTTGGTCATCTTTAAAATAAGAGTAGTATTGTCTGCCCCTTAAAACTGTTGTGTGGATTTGAATGAACACAGGTAAAGTGCCTGGGACATAGGAAGTTCTCAAGACATGGGAGTTATGATTATAGTCACCTTCTTTGCTTGGGTAAGGCAGGTAGGAAGCGATAGCAGCATTTCAGAATAGATCTGGTGATAGGCTCTAAGATGGGTGGATATAAGGGGCATGTGTGTCCCACTGTGGTGCTTCCTGACCAGAGGGTTCAAAGTTGTAAATACAGATAAATTTACTTGACTCTTAAAAGGCTGGTCTAAGGAAACAATATGGAACAGCAAAAAGTACTGTAGCCAGGAGTGAGCAAACCTGGGTTCCAGCATCAGTTCTGCTACTTGCTTTCTTGATAACCATTGACAGGTCACTCTTAAGGCCACTCCTACTGTGTTAAAAAGTAAAAAAGTTAGACAACAAGCTTAGAAAAATTTTGATGCATTCTAAGTCTATACACAATTAAGCTATCAGTACACTCATAAAAATGCATCTGGAAATCACTTCAAAAATAGCATTCATATTTCTTCATTCTTTTTCATTCCTGTATAATGCCATATTGTTTGAATACACCATTATTTACACAAGTAGTCACTTATTGTTGGAGAATATCTCAAAACCCTAGGGGATAGGTGGTGAATAGGGTGGAAGGGATAGACATGAATGCTAGACTCCCCTGAGTCCACCTCCTTTTGACTTTTGTGCCATATTAATATTTTATGTATCCAAATAGTAAAGTTAAATCAAAAGGAAGATATTACAAACTCTAAAATGGAATGCAAAAAAAGAAAATGATTCTAAATATCAAATTCATAACATATTAACACAGAGAAAACAGTTATTTCATCAAAAGTGTCAATACAGCCACTAATTCATGTTAATAAAATATGTTCTGAAAACAATAAAAGCCATGAAAAAGTTATAATCATCACCCAGTAAGATTATAAGTATTATTATTAGTACGAGTTTTGCCAAGAGACTGCACTGGTTATAGCAAACACTCTCTTAAAACAACATAAGAGACAACTACACATGGACATCATCAGATGGTCAATACTGAAATCAGATTGATTATAATCTTTGCAGCTGAAGATGGAGAAGCTCTATACAGTCAGCAAAAACAAGACCTGGAGCTAACTGTGGCTCACATCATGAACTCCTTATTGAAAAATTCAGACTAAAATTGAAGAAAGTAGGGCAAACCACTAGGCCATTCAGGTATTAGCTAAATAAAGTCTCTTATGATTATACAGTGCAAGTGAGAAATAGATTCAAGGGATTAGATCTAATAGGCAGAGTGCTTGAAGAACTATGGATGGAGGTTCGTAACATTGTACAGGAGATGGTGACCAAAACAATCCACAAGAAAAAGAAAAGCAACAAAGCAAAACGGTTGTCTGAGGAGGGCTCACAAATAGCTGAGAAAAGAAGAGAAACTAAAGGCAAAGGAGAAAAGAAAAGATATACCTATCTGAATGCAGAGTTCCAAAGAATAGCAAGGAAAGATAAGAAAGCCTTCTTAAGTGAAAATGCAAAGAACTGGAGGAAAACAGTAGAATGGGAGTGGCTAGAGATCTATTCAAGAAAATTAGATGCCAAGGGAACATTTCATTCAGAGATGGGCACAGTAAATGACAGAAGTGGTATGGACTTAACAGAAACACAAGGGACTAAGAACAGGTGGCAAGAATATACACAGAACTATACAAAAAAGATCTTAATGACCCGGATAATCATAATGGTGTGATCACTCACCTAGAGCCAGACATCCTGCAATGTAAATTCAAGTGGGCCTTAGGAAGCATTACTATAAGCAAAATTACTGGAGGCGATGGAATTCAATCTGAGCTACTTCAAGTCCTAAAAGTTGATACTGTTAAAGTGCTGTTCTCAATATGCCAGCAAATTTGGAATACTTACAGTGGCCACAGGACTAGAAAAGGTAAGTTTTCATTCCAATCCCAAAGAAGTGCAAGCCAAAGAACGTTCAAGCTACTGTACAATTGTACTCATTTCACATGCTAGGAAAGTAATGCTCAAAATCCTTCAAGCTAGGCCTCAACAGTACATGAACCAAGAACTTCCCTATGTATATACTGGATTTAGAAAAGGCAGAAGAACCAGAGATCAAATTGCCAACATCTGTCGGATCATAAAGAAAGCAAAGGAATTCCAGAAAAACATCTATTTCTGATTCATTGACTACATAAAAGCATTTGACTGTGTGGATCACAACAAACTGTGGAAAATTCTTAAAGAGTTGGGAATACCATACCACCTTACCTGCTTCCTATTAAACTTGTATTTGATCAAGAAGCAACAGTTAGAACCAGACATGGAACAATGAACTGGTTCAAAATTGGGAAAGGAGAATCACAAGGCTGTATATTGTCTCTGCTTATTTCAACTTATATGCAGAGTGCCTGTGTGCGTGCTCAGTAGCTTTAGTATTGTCCAAATCTTTGTGACTCTGTGGATGGTTGCCTATCAGGGTCCTCTCTCCATGAGATTCTCCAGGCAAGAATACTGAAGTAGATTGTTGGGCCCTCATCCAGGGGATCTTCCCCACCCAGGCATCGAACCTGAATCTCCTGCATCTTCCATATTGCATCATGTGAAATGCAGGGCTGGAGGAAGCACAAGCTGGAATCAAGATTGCCAGGAGAAATACCAATAACCTCAGATATGCAGATGACTCCACCCTTATGGCAGAAAGTGAAGAAGAACTAAAGAGCCACTTGATGATAGTGAAAGAGGAGAGTGAAAAAGTTGGCTTAAAGCTCAACATTCAGAAAACTAAGATCATGGCATCTGGTCCCATCACTTCATGGAAAATAGATGGGGAGACAGTGGAAACAGTGTCAGACTTTATTTTGGAGGGTTCCAAAATGAGTGCAGATCGTGATTGCAGCCTTGAAGTTAAAAGATGCTTACTCTTTGGAAGGAAAGTTATGACCAACCTAGACAGCATTTTAAAAAGCAGAGACATTCCTTTGCCAACAAAGGTCCATCTAGTCAAGGCTATGGTTTTTCCAGGGGTCATGTATGGATGTGAGAGTTGGACTGTGAAGAAAGCTGAGCACTGGAGAATTGATGCTTTTGAACTGTGGTGTTGGAGAAGACTCCTGAGAGTCCCTTGGACTGCAAGGAGATCCAACCAGTCCATCCTAAAGGAAATCAGTCTTGGGTGTTCATTGCAAGGACTGATGCTGAAGCTGAAACTCCAGTGCTTTGGGCACCTCATGCGAAGAGTTGACTCATTGGAAAAGACCCTGATGCTGGGAGGGGTTGGGGGCAGGAGGAGAAGGGGATGACAGAGGATGAGATGGCTGGATGGCATCACCGACTCGATGGACGTGAGTTTAAGTGGACTCTGGGAGTTGGTGATGGGCAGGGAGGCCTGGCATGCTGTGATTCTTGGGGTCGCAAAGTGTTGGACATGACTGAGTGAGTGAATTGAACTGAACTGAACTGCTCCTTGGAAGAAAAGCTATGACAACCCTAGACAGTATATTAAAAAGCAGAGAGATTACTTTGCCAACAAAGGTCCATGTAGTCGGAGATGTGGTTCTTCCAGTAGCCATGTACAGATGTGGTAATTGGACCATAAATACGGCCAAACAACAAATAATTGATGCTTTTGTACTGTGTTGTTGGAGAAGACTCTTGAGAATCCCTTGAACTGCAAGGTGATCAAAGCAGTCAATGCTAAAAAAAATCAACCCTGAATATTCATTTGAAGGACTGATGCTGAAACTGAAGCTCCAAAAGTTTGACTACCTGATGGAAAGAGCTGACTCACTGGAAAAGACACTGATGCTGGGAAAGGTTGAGAGCAGGAGGAGAAGGGGGTGACAGAGGATGAAATGGCTGGATGGCATCACTGACTCGATGGACATGAATTTGAGTAACCTCCAGGAGTTTGTGATGGACAGTGTGGTCTCTCATGCTGCAGTCCATGAGTTCCCAAAAAGTTGGTCATGATTGAGAGACCGAGCAGCAACAACAGTCTACAGAAAAATAAGTTCAAAATAGATTAAAGACCTAAATATAAGGCCTGATACTGTAAGTCTTAGAGGGAAACATAAATAAGCCACTCTTTGACATAAATTTTTTCAATTTTTTTAGATCTGTTTCCGAAGGCAAAGTAAGCCAAAGCAAACGAAAAGTGAGACCTAATTAAACATAAAACCTTTCTAACATCAGAGGAAGCCATTAACAAAATGAAAAGGCATTCTACTGAATTGGAGAAAATTTTAGTAAATGATATGATTAATAAGAGTTTAATATCTAAAATATATAATCAACTCATGCAACTAAATATCAAAAAAGTGAACAACCTGATTAAAAAACAGAAAAAGGAATAACATTTTTCCAAAGATGAGATACGATGATCACCAGGCACATGAAAAATGTTCAACACTACTAATAATCAATGAAAGCAAAAAAAATAGCATTCAGATATCACCTCATGAACATGTCAGAATGACTATCATTAGTGGGGATCTCCATATATAAGTTGGTCATAACTTTCCTTCCAAAGAGTAAGCATATATATGTGTGTGTACACACACACTACTATGTATAAAATAGATAGCTAATGAGAACCTACTATGTA